GTTTTGCCTACCAGTGCCACCGTACATGTACAGTGGTTGGGTGGCATGCGGTTAATAAATAACATATTCAAAAAAAAAAAAGATACAATTTCTTCATAAATTTAGGCCAACATGTATTCTGCTATAGATTAAATTAAATATGTGTCGCGCTCCACTAAATTATGATAATAATAATAATCTGTAGATTTAATACCTATATTGGTATACTTGTACAGATATTAAATATTAAACCTTCATAAACAAGTGGTTGCAGGTTGGGATCAAGCAGAAGTGTAGTTGAGGAACAGGTCAAGGTTGGGTCAGAAGTGTAGTTGAGGAACAGGTCAAAGTCGGTAGTGGTAGTGGGGATAAGGGCAGCTGCAGGTACACAAGGGAGATAGATATCGACTGAAGAGAGCACAATAATCTGGCATACTGTCAGGAATGGACTGGCCAGCAATGGTGGGACTCACCTGCCTTTTGATCTGCAGTACCAGGGCTGGCCAGCGGGTGCTCCCAGCAATCAGAGACTCAACCTTTCAGCCAGCTAACACCTGGAACTGATGATACTGGTGTATTTAAGGGATGGCCAGACTTGCAGACTCTGCCTTGGTGTTGTGTTTGTCCTGGGCCCTGTATCTGTCCTGCATCCTGTTTCTGTTCCTTTGCTACCTGTTCTGATCCCTGGCTTGTGACCCTGACCATCCCTCTGCCTGACCCTCTGTACTACGCTGCTTGCTACCTGTTCTGATCCCTGGCTTGTGACCCTGACCATCCCTCTGCCTGACCCTCTGTACTACGCTGCTTGCTACGCTGCTTGTGCTGACCATCCCCTGCCTGACCCTCTGAACCTGCTACCTGTGACCCCGACCATTCTCCGCTTGCTCCCCCTGTACCTACCTGCCCAATTGATATTGACCCGGCCTGCCTGACGACGCTTGCTTGTATGTACTGTTATCTGTGGGTGGTTGGTTGGGTTTGTTTGCACTGTATTCTGTTTAGTATTGCACTGCGTTTATGTTTGTATTGTTAGTGTTAATAAATTACATTGTTAATCACATATATGAAGTCTGCGTTTCCCTGCTTCAGTCACACACCTCTGGTCATACCTGGGAGCCCTGACACAAACAGGAAGTGCAAAAGCATGGTTTAAACAGGAAGTTCATGAGAGCTGCAAAAATTTCAAGGTTCACCAGAAATAAGGTACAAGGTAACATTATCCAAGGAATCATACAGATGCTTTCAAGCATCTTAGGTGGCTCAGCTAGAAGAACCACTGCTGGACACAGCAGAGGTTACAGGTTCAGATCCAGGTCCTGACATGAATCTTTGGACCAGGCTCTCCTTTGTATACATCCAAGTACAACCTTCTGGTGCTTCCTGGAGGTTGAGGACTAGGTCCACAACAGGGACCATCCACACTATATTCTCATGGATCTGCTTCTTTGAAGGAAAAACAACTTACAGCAAATGCATCAGAATCAATTTTTGCTTTCATTGGTCCAGTGCTCTCACACCGACATCAGACTGTAGATATTCGCAGGAATTTTGGAGTCGGACCACCAGACCACCATCACTGACAACGAGCCAACTCCTTGCGGTACATTCCTAGTAAAGGAGAACCATTCCTTTATATTAGCGTATATCTCTTGTCAATCCATATTTCTCCAAGGTGAATTATTTTCAATGAAACATTTTTTTCATTTGCCATAAAACTTTTTAATACATTCCAGATGAACAGAGTAATAATTCTGTAATATCTGTCAGATGAAACATTTTCTGGCACACTGAAGTAAATATAGCTTTGGTCTCTGGGGAAGGTGGTGAGGAACATAGACGTTCTCTTCCTCCTATTGGAGGGGAGCTTCTAAGAACAATATAAACAATTTCTGTATTTAGAGGGATGATTGACACAATCTTGCTTTCCTCCTCAGAGATTTAATACACTACTTTGGTTTTCTCGGGTAAACATTTAAGAGGAAAGTGTTTCTTCTAAAGCAGCCAGCCTCAACCTTATTACCCCAGAGGAACCTTTGAAGTAATGTCTTGAGGAACCCCTTCTAAAACCAATTCAAGGAGCATTCTTCCCACTGACCCCAATGTAAGGGACATTCTTCCCACTGACCCCCAATGTAAGGGACATTCTTCCCACTGACCACAAATGTAAGGGACATTCTTCCCACTGACCCCAATGTAAGGGACATTCTTCCCACTGACCACCAATGTAAGGGACCCCACTAGGGACCACCAATGTAAGGGACATTCTTCCCACTGACCACCAATCACAATGTAAGGGACATTCTTCCCACTGATCACCAATGTAAGGGACATTCTTCCCACTGACCACCAATGTAAGGGACATTCTTCCCACTGACCCCAATGTAAGGGACATTCTTCCCACTGACCACCAATGTAAGGGACATTCTTCCCACTGACCCCCAATGTAAGGGACATTCTTCCCACCAATGTAAGGGACATTCTTCCCACTGACCCCCAATGTAAGGGACATTCTTCCCACTGACCCCCAATGTAAGGGACATTCTTCCCACTGACCCCCAATATAAGGGACATTCTTCCCACTGACCCCCCAATGTAAGGGACATTCTTCCCACTGACCCCCAATGTAAGGGACATTCTTCCCACTGACCCCAATGTAAGGGACATTCTTCCCACTGACCCCAATGTAAGGGACATTCTTCCCACTGACCCCCCAATGTAAGGGACATTCTTCCCACTGAACCCCAATGTAAGGGACATTCTTCCCACTGACCCCCCAATGTAAGGGACATTCTTCCCACTGAACCCCAATGTAAGGGACATTCTTCCCACTGACCCCCCAATGTAAGGGACATTCTTCCCACTAACCCCCCAATGTAAGGGACATTCTTCCCACTGACCACCAATGTAGGGACATTCTTCCCACTGACCACCAATGTAAGGGACATTCTTCCCACTGATCACCAATGTAAGGGACATTCTTCCCACTGACCCCCAATGTAAGGGACATTCTTCCCACCGACCCACCAATGTAAGGGACATTCTTCCCACTGACCACCAATGTAAGGGACATTCTTCCCACTGACCACCAATGTAAGGGACATTCTTCCCACTGACCCCCAATGTAAGGGACATTCTTCCCACTGACCACCAATGTAAGGGACATTCTTCCCACTGAGCCCCAATGTAAGGGACATTCTTCCCACTGACCCCCAATGTAAGGGACATTCTTCCCACTGACCCCCAATGTAAGGGACATTCTTCCCACTGACCCCCCAATGTAAGGGACATTCTTCCCACTGACCCCCAATGTAAGGGACATTCTTCCCACTGACCCCCAATGTAAGGGACATTCTCCCACTGACCCCAATGTAAGGGGACATTCTTCCCACTGACCCCCCAATGTAAGGGACATTCTTCCCACTGACCCCCAATGTAAGGGACATTCTTCCCACTGACCCCAATGTAAGGGACATTCTTCCCACTGACCCCCCAATGTAAGGGACATTCTTCCACTGAACCCCAATGTAAGGGACATTCTTCCCACTGACCCCCAATGTAAGGGACATTCTTCCCACTGACCCCCCAATGTAAGGGACATTCTTCCCACTGACCACCAATGTAAGGGACATTCTTCCCACTGATCACCAATGTAAGGGACATTCTTCCCACTGACCACCAATGTAAGGGACATTCTTCCCACTGACCCCCAATGTAAGGGACATTCTTCCCACTGACCCCCAATGTAAGGGACATTCTTCCCACTGACCACCAATGTAAGGGACATTCTTTCCCACTGACCACCAATGTAAGGGACATTCTTCCCACTGACCCCCAATGTAAGGGACATTCTTCCCACTGACCCACCAATGTAAGGGACATTCTTCCCACTGACCCCCAATGTAAGGGACATTCTTCCCACTGACCCCCCAATGTAAGGGACATTCTTCCCACTGATCCCCCAATGTAAGGGACATTCTTCCCACTGACCCCCAATGTAAGGGACATTCTTCCCACTGACCACCAATGTAAGGGACATTCTTCCCACTGACCCCCAATGTAAGGGACATTCTTCCCACTGACCCCCAATGTAAGGGACATTCTTCCCACTGACCCCCAATGTAAGGGACATTCTTCCCCACTGACCCACCAATGTAAGGGACATTCTTCCCACTGACCCCCAATGTAAGGGACATTCTTCCCACACTGACCCCCAATGTAAGGGACATTCTTCCCACTGACCACCAATGTAAGGGACATTCTTCCCACTGACCACCAATGTAAGGGACATTCTTCCCACTGACCACCAATGTAAGGGACATTCTTCCCACTGATCACCAATGTAAGGGACATTCTTCCCACTGACCACCAATGTAAGGGACATTCTTCCCACTGACCCCCAATGTAAGGGACATTCTTCCCACTGATCACCAATGTAAGGGACATTCTTCCCACTGACCCCCAATGTAAGGGACATTCTTCCCACTGATCACCAATGTAAGGGACATTCTTCCCACTGACCACCAATGTAAGGGACATTCTTCCCACTGATCACCAATGTAAGGGACATTCTTCCCACTGACCCCCAATGTAAGGGACATTCTTCCCACTGACCCCCCCAATGTAAGGGACATTCTTCCCACTGACCCCCAAATGTAAGGGACATTCTTCCCACTGACCCCAATGTAAGGGACATTCTTCCCACTGACCCAATGTAAGGGACATTCTTCCCACTGACCACCAATGTAAGGGACATTCTTCCCACTGACCCCCAATGTAAGGGACATTCTTCCCACTGACCCCCAATGTAAGGGACATTCTTCCCACTGATCCCCAATGTAAGGGACATTCTTCCCACTGACCCCCAATGTAAGGGACATTCTTCCCACTGACCCCCAATGTAAGGGGACATTCTTCCCACTGACCCCCAATGTAAGGGACATTCTTCCCACTGACCCCCAATGTAAGGGACATTCTTCCCACTGACCCCCAATGTAAGGGACATTCTTCCCACTGATCCCCAATGTAAGGGACATTCTTCCCACTGACCCCCCAATGTAAGGGACATTCTTCCCACTGACCCCCCAATGTAAGGGACATTCTTCCCACTGACCACCAATGTAAGGGACATTCTTCCCACTGACCCCCAATGTAAGGGACATTCTTCCCACTGACCCCCAATGTAAGGGACATTCTTCCCACTGACCACCAATGTAAGGGACATTCTTCCCACTGATCCCAATGTAAGGGACATTCTTCCCACTGATCACCAATGTAAGGGACATTCTTCCCACTGACCACCAATGTAAGGGACTTTCTTCCCACTGACCCCCCCAATGTAAGGGACATTCTTCCCACTGATCACCAATGTAAGGGACATTCTTCCCACTGACCCCCAATGTAAGGGACATTCTTCCCACTGACCACCAATGTAAGGGACATTCTTCCCACTGACCACCATGTGTAAGGGACTTTCTTCCCACTGATCACCAATGTAAGGGACATTCTTCCCACTGACCCCCAATGTAAGGGACATTCTTCCCCACTGACCCCCCAATGTAAGGGACATTCTTCCCACTGATCCCCAATGTAAGGGACATTCTTCCCACTGATCACCAATGTAAGGGACATTCTTCCCACTGACCACCAATGTGAGGGACATTCTTCCCACTGACCTCCAATGTAAGGGACGTTCTTCCCACTGACCATCAATGTAAGGGGACATTCTTCCCA